TTGCAGGTACCCGCGACCCTTAGGGCAAAATGTGGGGTACTATTTTCGGGGTCCCCATAGTTAGGGTTATAGTATTTTGGGGTCTATATTGGGGGCCCCCTATTTTGGGAAATTACTATATTTGGACAAAATGTATCCCCTTGGTGGTCTACAAAGAGAACAGCTCTAAGTTGGCTGAATTGCCAGTTTGGATATGAGCTATATTCTGAACTCCTGAACAGGGGGTTATACAGGGTTCTATACAGGGGACCACTATGAGAGTTTTGAAGGGGACCCTAAACCCTACACACACCGGAATCCTTTGCATAACCTCAGATGCAGCATTATCTTGCAGCCTGGTCCTTGCGTTCCGGAAAAGCCCGTGAAGACTCAGGTCCTACCCCCCAAACTAACCCAAGAGTGAGCCTACATGTACGGCATTCCCTTACAAGGGGCTTCCAGCTTTTTTTTGGGGGGGAGGTTACACTTCAATCCTCCGAAGCCTTTGTACTTGCAGGTTGGAGGGGGTTTGGTAAGTAGGTTAGTTAGTGGGATAAAACGGAATCGTTTATAGTGATTAGTATTTACATTCTTGTCAAGAAACTAGTTTGAACATCCACTACATAATCCAAAGTGTACTCTTCTAGGTTGCTGTTACGGAACTTCTTTTGAATCACAATCATAAGGAAACCACATGTTTTTACTGTGTACCCAGAATATGGTAACTTGAAAGGCCCCTTAACAGCAACCCAATCTTGGAATATGCCCAGCTCAGGAAGAGGTGGTGGACTTGTCTTTGCTGTCTGGCATTGTCTTCATCAGCCATCAGTGGGCTGGCTTTGATCACCCTGATCCTGAAGGTGAACATATTAGGGTTATATTGGGGTCATATAAGTGGTAGATTAGGGGTATATTGGGGTTATATTAGGGTTATATTATGGTTACAATGGGGTTATATTGGGAAAATGGAAAATACAATGGAAACTGCTATAATGACCCTGATCCTGAAGGTGAACATTACCAGGCTATATTGGTCGCCATCAGGCAGCCTGGATGTTTTTGTTGAGAAAAACCCTAAACCCCAAACCCCTAAGCTGTTTCATCTTCAGTCTGTTGCTGCCTCTATGCTTCTCTCCTGTAACCCTCAATCCTAACGTGCATTATGAGCCTGCCAGGGGAATGAGTGAGAGGGGCTTGAAGTGTGGCTACATCTGGGTCGACTACACATCGATTCCTCAGGCAAACGCTTTCCAGCAGCAGGCAGCTATCAACTCTTTAGCCGTATACGCCTCCTTATGCTCTGCCCTTGTGTCTGTGGCTCCAAACTGCAAGCATGCAGACACTGGCGCAGACCTAAATGTGCAAACCTACTGCGCCCGTGGGTGGTGCCGCCTGGAACTACTGAGCTTCAAGACCGGCACCTGCAAAGCGGAAGATGATGAGACTGGCTCAGTGTTAACGGTCCTGCATACTTTAGCTGTTATGGGTATCATGCCAGAAAATACCACCAGGATCCTTTTAATTCCCAGGGGAAGAGAAGCTGAGGAGAGGGCAGCCTACCTCTGCGATGGACTTAGCTTCAAGAGTATTCAGGAATCTGATGTCGCCCTGGAAGATGACTTAGTCCTGCATGTGCTGGGAGGATCCTTCACATGTTGTTCTCGATGCCACCCGGGTGGCGTCCAGTGCGACCGCCAGAAGACCAGGGACGTCCTGCTGGGCATCTACTGGCGGCTTCTGGCCATGAGGAGGGATGGAGACATGCATCTTGGCCTTGCAACCCTAAACCCTATACTGTAGGGTGCCTTCTTTCCTGTTTGGGCTCCGAGGTTCCTGACACAATTATGCAAGGCTGGCTTAGAATGGTTCTGAACATTTTGTGCGGTTCTGAAGACTTTATTTAGAGCAGAGAGTATGCTAATTATCCGGGCTCCGTAATGTGGGCCAGTCTGTTTGACTACCTTTGTTTGGCCTAGGCAGTATGTGATTGAAGCAGACCGCATTCTGCAGCTGGTGCAGATGGAAGTAGAGAAGCTGGGCTGCTGTTAATTAAGGAGAACTTCGATTAAGTGACCATAACACGGGTATAGTAATGACCAGTATTTCTTTAGGATGAAAATTTGGTTTAAGTCCTATCATAGCAGCCGTTTGTCAATCGATAGCCATATACGCCCTAGACCATTCCCTAGTGTCCATCTTCTGTTCCATTCCCAGGATAACTTGTTTTGAGCTCTTGATTTCTACAAAACCTCTACATCACCGCAGTTTCCATGTCATGTTCATTTAACTCTCCATTGTTACTAACCCTCGTCCTTAAACCCTGTAGACTGACTACGTAGTAGTTTCCATTTCTTTTCCATTCCACAAACCTTATATAGCGCTAGGAATACTCTATATAATAACCCCTTGAAACTTCATTAACAAAACCTCAGCGCAGTTAAAAACCATGCCTAAACCCTCATGCTTAATCGCAACGCAGGAAATATTTTCCCGCATACACCTGGTATCGCAGTGCAGGCCACGAGGACGGAGTGCATGGTGGATCATGGGTTGAGGTGTTGGGTTAATCCCCAAACAAGAAGGGCATCCATCCATTTTGAGAAACTCTGAACCCTAAAGCATAACCCCTACACCCTGATCATTTGACCCTAAACACCCTTCATATGGCAGTACTATCTACATACATATGTACGTACATACATACATACATACATACATACCTACATGCATACATACATACATACATACATACACACACATACATTCTTACATTCATACATACGTACGTACATACGTACGTGCATACATGCATGCATGCATGCATGCATGCATGCATGCATGCATACATGCATACATACATACATACATACATACATACATACATATGTATACACACGCAAGTTTATGTCCTTACATCCCCTTGAAGTATGCGCCACATGCTCGAGAAATCAAGCTAGGAGATGCAAGAGCTGTTTGACGGATACCTGCCGCTGTTGCACAAAATGTTTCTAGGCCAAAGGTTTAGGGTTCAGGGTTTGTAGGGTTTTGGGTTTAGGGTCAAATGTTTGGGCTCCCAAATTTCAGGTTTCTTCCTACATGGGTCGCGAGGGACTAAGAGTATGCTGCTTTAACATTGCTTAAGCCAACTCTGCAAAACGCAGCAGTTGTGAGTTAGGAAGAGGTCATGAAAGAGACTTGCTTCAATGCCTAGGCCCTCTGCTTGAAGCCCCAAATTCTATGCACGAAGACCTCAACTCCTCCGCCAGATAACTTGAGAAGACTTGATAGGCCTGAACTCCAAACCGTAAACCCCAGAGCCTTCATCCCCCCCCTGGTTCAACCCAGGTTTGACAAGGATTCCAAGCTAGACCGTGGCTGTCGACTCCAGGTGTTTAGCCGTAGCCAGCGGCAGGTTATGACAATTTGAGACCATGCATTTTCGGATTTTTCCCCTTTCCTAACAATGAGCTACGCCGCCACCTCAGTGCGGGATACATGCAATAAGAAGTGCCAAACCGAGAAAGGGAAGCTTTGACGTGTGGCGAGCAGTTCTCATTGCCATTGGAGATGGGTGATTCTCGTAGCAGAGTCATGCAGCTTGAATTCGCAGAGGGTTGTGGGTCTGCCAAGCAAGTGTCCACATGAATTTCACAGCTTACGCAGGCTGTCAATGGAAGGATTATCCTTCATGCTCATGTTTTTTCGGTAGTTTCCAGAAACCAGGGGCCCCAACATAGAGCCAAACATACTATAATCATTTATAATCCTTACAGGAACACCGAGAAGGAGCCCCTGTGTTTTGGAAACCCGCATTTACATATACAGTATCCATCTCTTAGTCGGCAGCTGTGTAGTTAGCGGCATTCTTTCCAAGAGGAGGTGGAGCGCCTCGTGCTATAGTCTAAAACTCCTTTAAAGGGGTGATTTAGGGGATTCTATAGGTCTAGCCTTCATTCCTTAAAGGGGTCATATTCGGGATTATATAGGGGATAGTAGGGATCATTAAGGGGAGGTACTAGGAGTTCAGATTATGGCTCATTTTCCAATGGCATGCAAAGCATTGCCGTTACATAGATCTGAAGGCGGATGCTGGTTGACTTTGGTTGCAAACAAGGCGAGCTGGTGTCCTGCTTGGTTTTCTGTAGAAAATTTTGAGCAACGACTGAAGGACAAGCCCACCTAGCACTTAGAAGGTTGAAGCCCTCATGGTTGCTTTTGCCGTGTTGAGGGTCCAAGTCACGTCTATCTGCTACTCATATACTTACTGGTGGTTAGTAGGAAATAATGGAATAGAATCCCTATGTCACTGCCGTACAATAGATTACCTTATTCCCGGCTAACCACCAGCAAGGATTGTGCTCATGGCACGTTAGGGAATAATCTGACGTGTAGTTTTCTACATGAGCCATGACCTAAACTCCTTAAAGCGGCTTATATAGTGGAGTGTTATAGGACGTATTAAGGGGATACTAGGGGAGACCATAGCTCATATGGGCGGGTCTCAAAAGGAATCCCTGCACAATCGAGAGAGAACCCAAAATCAAATTAGATCCCTGCAGGCCCCTTATGTAGGGTGCCAGGGTACCCTAAACCCTAAACCCCTAAACCATAAAAAGAAAATAAAGGAAAAAACACTAAACCCTAAACCCCTAAACCCTCTCAGGGTTGCAGTATTTTCGGGTCTGGGTTGTACGCAAGTCCCCGTACGCACCATCTGCTCCTTAGACAGACAGTCACTAGGTGCACCAGGGTATTTTAGTAGTTGGGGAGGGCAACAAGCAACCGCAATTTCCGGATTCATGCTCCTTGGTGCTGACCACTCACAGGGGAGAATGAACTCAGGAAATTGCAGTCATAGTCAACTCTCGGCCGGGCGTGTAACATATCTTTCACCAAAGTTCACTGTTTACGACTCTCTAGACAGTTTAGGAGGGACCCCCAATAGGGACCCTTGTAATAGAATGTGGGGACTACCTAGGAGTGTAAAGGTTGTATCAGGACTATATAAGGGGTTATGTATGGACACGGAATGAGGGGCCCTTTCATGAGTCCCTCCTTAGAACCCTGAATTAAGACTTGGACCAGCCGTGTGAGGGTTCCCATAGGGGCCTCCAAAACACATAATCCCAATAACAACCAAAAAATTACATGTTCTAGTGGTGTGCTGAGGACAGTTTAGGTTCAGGGTTTAGGGTGTTCGCTTGAAGCAGGAATTGCAGCTGTAGAGCTACGACGGCTTAATTACTTCTGAGGTTTGTGGGAGGGACCCTTAATGGTGACGTCTGTAGAGTATGCGGGGTTATGTGAGGCTTACCTGGTTATATAGGGGGTATGGTAGGACTATATGAGGGGTTGTGTAAGGTAACAGGATCAGAGGTCCCTTGTAGGATCCGGATTGAAATGCCTTCCGGTCTAGCTTGTAGTGTAGGCCTATGTAAGACATGTTTGGTTGGTGTTGATTTACTCTTCCGCTTCCTAAACTAAAACCTATGAACCCTAAACCCCAAACCCTAAAATCCTATTAACCCCATGAACCCTATAATTCCTAAACGATGTATTAACCCTAAGCCCTATAAGCCCTAACCCGGAACCTGACCCTAACCAACCACCAAAATCTGAAGTCCAGCGAGCTTAACCTCCCCCAGGGCTGCACCCACAAAGACATATCAACTATCTTATCTATAGGGGCCTCTAAAATGATTTCAATTTTTTGGCTATTATAAATCCGACTACTAACAACCAATAATTTTTTTGGTGGGGTTCTGAGGCCGGCTTAGTTATATTAATATATTTATATGTACTGCTGGTGCTCTCTGTATACTGCTGTTCGTATATCTATGAACAGTGGCATTAGATTGGGCATCACCAATGTTCTTATTCAAACCATGCCATCGGAGCCCCAAATTTCAGGATCCTGAGGGAATTTTCTCTTGGCAACCTACGGTGGTCAGTGCACTCGGTTCAGGGTTAAGGGTCTAGGGTTGGGCTTAGTTTCGGGTTTAGGGTTCAGGGTTTAGGGACTCTCATGCACCTTCTGGGGGGGGGGGGCACAATAAGGGGCCCACGGTCAGGTCCCAGGATATTGAGCTTTCAAACCTGAAGCTGCAGTGGCATGACGCATCAAGGATCCGGAAGACATTCAGATCGACTCCCCTTTGGCTCCAGTTTTCTGGTGACTTGACTGCACATGAGGATATATCACTGATAACAGCCATTCCATTCTCCTGCTGCTTCCGCTGCTGCCGCCGCTGCGGCCGCCGCCGCCGCCGCTGCTGCTGCCACTACCGCCGCCGCCGCTGCCGCCGCGGCTGCTGCTGTTGCTGCTGCTGTTGCTGCTGCTGTTGCTGCTGCTGTTGCTGCTGCTGTTGCTGCTGCTGTCTGCTGCTGCTGAAGCTGGCACTGCCAGGGGGGCGGTGGCGGTGGCGGCAGCGGTGGCGGTGCTTTCCAAGGCAGTTGCGTTGGTGCTGGAGGGGGCGGGGAAGGTTGGGGGGAAGAGAGCGCGGTGGCCCAAGAAGAACTTCTCTACAGCATCGGAGACTCGCCAACCTGGGTACCCCGCAGCGGATATATGTGGCCAGAGGAAATCATTTATCCAAACAGCCGTCCCGAAGAATTCCCATAGCCGTTTGTAAGTCAGACAGACAGGATCCATTACTTTAAGCCCTTGTTTTTTGCCTGGTGTGAGCCCATCTTTCATCATTAGAATCATCGCAGCTAGAAGACAAGGGGCCTTGTTCTTCTTCGCATGCCTGTCTGATAGTACGGGTACAGACTTCCAAGCAGTCCACTGTAAATCATAACCTCCTATGGCCTAATGGGATTGCCAAGATACTCGCTCCACTTTCATAGCCACTGAACATAGGAGCCTTGCTTAAGCAAGGGGTCGCACAGGATGGTGCGCATACTCAAAGCGTACATTCTGTTCTTCAACTTCCAGAAGCTCCAGCACTAACGGGGTCAAGGAGTTTCTGGCAAGTGGAAGTTTGCTCAGAGTCCCCCGCGTAACCCCCCTAGGTGAGTTACCCCGTGTTCTAACGTGGGTTATACATGCAGGTAGGCCAACACGGACTTTCTTGATGGCACCTGTGTTCCGTACCAATTCCTAGAGGTCCTGTTCACAGACGGCTGCAGTGAACCTGCAAATCCGAAGTCGTTCGCTTGGTACCCTATTAATTACGGCGGATACAATCCTGCATAATCCCAAGTACCTTATGCCTTGAAAACTGAAGTAGTAAAGTATACTATAGGTCATGCAGAATATTCATTACCAACAATACCATGTGCACAGTACACTCCACTCAACGGGGCTTTCAGTCTGCCAAGATCTGGAAAGACTCGTAAATCGCAGACCTTGGACCTTTTTACCCAAAGCCCCTACAAACCCTTCAACCCATTCCCCATACCTCCTAAAATCCTTGAAAGCTGGCCTTGAACCTTGTACCCCAAGCCCCTAAACCGCTCAAAGCTGTAATGGTAGACCCAGGTGCCGGCGGCTAGCCCCAAAAGACCTTATCATTCCCCTTGCTAGATGGGTTATTCTCTAAATTATGGGCCCCTTTTGGGTCCAAAATATAGTATGGTACGTAATATTTAGGGATACCAAAACGGGACCCCTATTTTGGGAACCCCCCCATAAAGCCCAGTAGCCTACTACCCCCTATACCATAGAATCCTTGCATAGCTATGGTATGCGGAGCCTCAAACAGACCGTAAGTATATTCAGGCTTCTGCAGTACCAGGTTTCCGGTTGGAAAAACCCTAAATCCAAAACTCTGTATACCCTAAATTCCAGACCCCAAAACGTAAGCCCTAATCCTGGATCCTACAGCCTAAATCCTGAACTCTATATACCCTTAAGCCTAATAGGGAATCCTTTTACCTAGGTTTCAGCTTACCGACTACGCGCTTTTTCCCCACTTGCAGCTCTTCGCGTCGGCCTCGCAGCTGGCTCTCGACTTGTTGCTCGGGTGGGATTGAAAAGTGTGGATATGGCGGCTTCAGGGC